AGGCAAGGCTCAACCCCAACAACCCCCAGGCTCCTAGTTTCTCCTAGAGCTATCCATGTATTTAATAGAAAGAAGGAAGGGAGGGAAACGGCAACAAGGAAAAATGTTGCGATTGCATAGAACAGGTCTCCCTGTGTGAGGGAATTCAGCTTTATAAGGGTTCCTGATCGTTAGGTGTTTTTTAAATATGTGCAGCTAAACAGGTTTACAAACCCTTTTCAAATATTTGCACAAAAATCCCACCCACCCCCCAAAAAAGTAGGTACATACATATCCTAGAATTAGGGTTTGCATGCATGATCACATCACCACCCTTGTGTGATATCTCAATATCATTTTTTGCAAAGGAATGGCTCCATCTGGCAATTGCATGCACCTGATTAACCAGACTAGAGAGCCAGTGTGGTGTTGTAGATTTAGTGCCAGATTAGGACTTGGGTTCAAACCCGTTTGGCCATTGAAACTCAAAGGATATGGCAATGGCAAACTATGAAAACACATCCAGCTGCACACACATAACTGGGGTGGGGAGAGAATTAAATCTGCCCTGGAACAGATACAGATAATTTCCATTCCACTGGGGAAATTATGCTATGAAGATCCATGCAACTGGCCCCAACTGGTTTAAAAACTACCATTGAAAAGCACATCCAGGGGACTACAAAGGCATGGGAAGGTTGCTTCAAGGATTTATTTTCATTTGTTTTTAAACCTGCTAGCTCATATACAGAAGCACCAAAAGAAAAGCATGAAAGAAAGAAAGAAAAATCAAGGGCAAAAATAATTCCATAGAAATTATCTCTGCAGAAGTAACCTTGGTAGTCTGTCACAGCAAAATACCTAAGAGTTGTGAGGAGCTTTTAAAAGTAACAGATTTATTACAGTATGAGTTTTCAATGAAAATACAATAACAATACCTAGAAAAGGCAATCAAATGCCCAGACAGATATCCAAATTCAGTTGACATCTGTATGCCACATGTGCAGATGTTGAAATAGACGTAAGATCCCCAATCTGATGGATAACAGGTGAGCATTTATCTTTCAAGTGATGAAATGAAAGTCTTTAGGTCAATAAGGAGGTATGGTGAATCTGCTTCCACTTAATATTATTTTATCCACTCTTTCCCACAAAAAAAATCAGTAAATAATTTCAAGGCACATGTACATCTGCAAGTTTCAAACATTGCTCCAATAATAAATGAATATGGATGATAACCTCCCCATTCCAAAAAAAGAAGCTGCAACTCGTTATCCCTAAATCATATGTCTCAAGCAGTGCCAACAGTTGGCCAAATTACTCAAGCTTTGAGTAAAGGGCACTCTGATGTCTGGTATACACAAAATATGCATTTTTGCTAGGTCATTTGCAGCTTCAAAGCCACAAACACAACAGGCACAGAAGCCAGAACCATGTTTTCTTAATTAGCTAAATTTGGGGATCCAGTATTTGATCCCATCATTTCCTAAGACTATTCTGATCATATTCATTATTCAGTAGCAGATACTGATAGATTTAACAGGGATTTCTAAAATCAAAGAAGTCACTGAGATGCTTAAAGCTGCAAGACCATTATCTACATACCAGCAAGAGTTTTCACTATAAATTTTGCCATTCAGTTGACAAGTCAGGTTTAACCTTTAGCCTTGAAAATAAAATAATGCATCATCATGCCACGCAAGTGATCCATAGTGAGAAATTGCCCTGTCTTCCCCAAAACTGACTTCTTCCCAATTTTCAAACCAGGAAGGCCACATAGATTTAATTCACCCAGAGAAAATGAATCACATTGCAATTGTCATTGTTGCATTAGTCACCAAAGTTTCCTAACAGCAACAACATGGGGGGGGGAGGATCCTGTGAGCATGCTTAGGTGCTGTCCCCTCAAAAAGTAGCAGGAACATTTCCAAACAGCTGGAGATCACAGTGCATAAGCAAGAAAAATCCCAACGGTTAGTTCAAATAAAGAAAAATGCCCAGTGATATAAACTAACACAGGAAAACCAAATCTACCTTCTGTGTACAGAAGCTGCAGCACCTTAAGAAGAACAAAGTGTCTTGCGGTACTTTAAAATGTAAAGGTCACCAGCTTTTTATGTCACAAGCTTTTGAGTGTCAGAAGTTCTGACTTCCATAGAGGTGAATTTTGAAGACAGAGCAGAAAGTGCCTTGAAATTATAAGAAGGAGCTATTAGACTTTTAAAAAACACTATAAGAAGTAAGTCTAAGGTTATCTTTTACTTAGAAAATTACAAGTAAGATAAGTTTACAAATTCGTCAGAACTCTATAACAAACAAAGATGGCATAAAACTGGGTGTTGAGGCAAAACCTGGGCCACATGTTGTGGCTATGGCTTATTCAGCCAGACTGCCAACAAGGCAAACTAGTTAGGATTCCACATCAGATAGAGGTGGCAAATTTATCACTGGGCAGCTTCTCCCCACTCTGCAGACAAATCCAGAACAACTAAACCACGGGAATGACTCATCCACATTCAAGTTGGAGATAAACAGCTGTAGGTGTTCGTCTTGGTGTGACAGACAAAGCTGAGAAGAAGTTATGGGGAAAACAATAGTCCAGAACATGAAAGCAAAGCCTACCTTTGTTTCAGTGATTTAGAAAAGGATTGATTTGACAGGACAAATATTTGATATATTATTGTTTTCTTAACAGGATCAGCAATTTGATAATAGTCCTTTTGTTGCTGTTATATCCTTACTACAGCACATAATTCTTTATGTGTCTATCACACACACACACAAACAAACAAACAAAACAAACAAACAAACTGGTAGAAGCACCTCTAGTTCATACTGCTAACCTTCTGCAGACATCAATTGTCTACCATTTTCTTGAGCTTAGATATCTAGGAGCTATACTCCAGTTTGTACAGCAGTTTGCTTGACTTATTCCTGTGGAGAATCAGTATTAAACAAATGAATAAAAGCCAAAATCCTATTCATAACAGTCGATAATCATATGGTATCTTGAGAGCTAATAAACAACTGCATAAACCTTTGGGGCCCAAACCACACTTTGCCTCATGCATGGATGCTCATTCTACACTTAGGATCTGAAACTGCAATCCTGAACCCACTAAGCCAAGAAAAAGCCCCACTGAACATACAGTATGTATGCACAGATGTATTTAGCAGGATACCATATAACTCCTCAGCTAAATGTCTTCTTTTTCTGCATCAGCAGAATAGGAGATTAGTGACAGTGGTTCCCTTACCTCACTGCAATCGTTCTTCATCTTCTTTGGAGAGTTGAGGGACTCTTTGAAGTAGCATGAGGAGGCTTCAGAGAGGAATAAGAAGCTGAAAGAATAATCTTCCTCTCTGTTACACTAATGGACACCTTGCATCACTGAGGCGACACTAACTAGATGCCCCCCCCTTTGACTCAACTATATAGGGGTAGAAGACTCTGGTTTGGGAGGTTATTCCTCTACTTAGGCCCTCAACCATCTCCACCAGTTTTGCTTGAATTGGTGAAAGAACATTGAGAAAGACTTCAGAAAGTGAATATAAATCTAAGATCTATTCATATGAAAGGAAGCAATTACTGACATATCATGGTTTGAAGATAATATAACATTATTGAAAGATAATGTTACATAACACATGGTACACAACACTCATCATATATTATGCAGCACAGCAAGTCAATATTCTATAAGGCAAATCTAAAAATGGAGGCAGCCAAAACCAAAATGTGTATTATTAAAAATGGACTTCAGATCACCACCAAATTTGGCACAGGTGTAGCTGACAGATTGCCCTTGCTCTGTGCCAAGTTTAGGGAAGTTTGGGGAAAGGGTTTCTGAGGTATTTTTTTTAAAAAAGTAAAACTGTTCCCCTTTGAAGAAAAAGTTACCTTAAACACTCCCAAATTTAAAACAGATCAAATAAATTGAAAATACCAATTTTGCTTATCTTGAAAGACAATGGTTGGCCCACTGCTTTTTTTTTATTATTTGGAAGGAATCCAGGCTGTGGGGTGTGTGTGAAATATTGATTCTCAAAAAAGGTGTTTCAAAACGGTAAGTGACTTTGTTATAAACTGAGTATGCATGGATCATGCTTACCACAAGAGCATTGCAAAGAAGATACATTGCTGTAGTTTTGTGGAATGGGAATGAAGATGTTTGGAGGACAATGGACGATCACAAAAACAGTAAAAAAAAAAACACTCACCATCATTCACTTTTTATCAAAAGACAACCCTGATAATTGTTTTGTGTTTGGATAAGTGGTTAACTGCTGAAAAAAGGAGTCAGTTTCTGGGATATTCCCCTGCTTGGTGTCATTTTGTGAAAGGTAGAGAACACAACGTTTCTGTAGACCATCTTGACTGCTGCCATTTGTGTTTTCAACATTCAGGTTGCCCTTTGCTATGTAAACTTGGCATCCTTTTTCCTGCTGGTGATGCTGGAACGATATTGTGCAGCAATATTGGGCCATTTCCTGGCATTTTGAATCATGGATATAGAAGCACAATATCCTACATTCATAAACCAGAGTTTTTTTTGAAAACTAGAATATAGAATGAATTTGTTTGTTTGTTTGTTTGTTTGTTTGATGTATACCCCGCCCATCTAGTCAACTGACTACTCTGGGCTGCTAATTTATTTAATACAACCTAAATCCAGCTGTTATCCTCAACCAGAGATGTTATGGCATTATGCTTAGGCATTAGGACCCAATCATTATTATTACTCTCTCTCTAGAAAGTTATTTGTTCCATTTCCTGTTATGAACAGATTACAAATCTCTAGATGTAAAAACTGCAGATAGCTTATTAATACTAGAGCAGGACGACAGTGGAACCAGTTACCTTGGGAGCTGGTGAGTGCTCCAACACTGGAGGCATTCAAGAAAAACTTGGCAGAGATGCTTTGATGGTGTTCCTGCATTGAGCAGGGGGTTGGCCTTGTAGACCCCTTCCAACTTCACTTTTCTATTATTTTATGAACACATCTATAACATTAGCATACCAGTCTCATTGAACTCAACAGTGGTGTCACTTATTATGCCCCAGAGTACATGATATGGGTGATTCTCCTTCTCTCCACCTGTTAGGGTGAAAAACGCCATTTATATCCTTACAAAATAATACCCTTCTGCCGTTATATCGAAAACACTAATTATTTCTTATTCAGAACTACGTCTTTGAATAAACAGATAGTGATACTATGGTTGTTTGTTAGACCAAACATGGTTTGACATCTTTGTATACCCACATACTGTATCTTATAATTAAGGGTTGAAGCTTTAAAAAAGTGTGCTGCTTATATACCACCCCATAGCACTTAAAGCACTCTCTGGGCAGTTTACAAGTTAATTATGCAGACTACATATTGCCCCCCCCCCCAGCGAACTGGGTACTCATTTTACTGACCTTGGAAGGATAGAAGGCTGAATCAACCCTGAGCCAGCTACCTGGGATTGAACCCCGGACTGTGAGCACAGTGTTGGCTGCAGGACAGCAGTTTAACCACTGCACCACAAGACTCATGTGCTTTAAATGAATCCTCAACGTTTGAAATTCTAATGATTCTCCCTCTGAGGTTATTCCTCTCAAGCAACACTATTCTGCCCTTGTAATAATTTTACAGTCAGTGAAGAGCATTGTTTAGTTTTTCGACACAACAGTGGTCATTTATGTCACTTCTTTTAATGCAAATCTCTGTGAGGGCAAATTAGGAAACAACATTGTTAAAGATACCAGGGGGAAAAACAAAGAAAAAATGAAAAAATGAAGAAGACAAAAATACTGTGGTTCCTTAAAGACTGACTGCTATATTTTAATGTTATCTTTCATGGACAAGTCCACTTCCTCAGACATTAAAGTCTGAGGAATTATTAAAGACGCCAGTCAAAATCTCATGTATGGTGGTAGTAAAATTATGACAACTTTTACAGCCTAGAAGAGAAAAGAAAGCCTAGAAAAATTGCAATATTATACTAAATCTGCTATCCCACAATTACACTTATGTCCAGCCATTAAACTTTCATACTATATATCCAATTTTTCAATGTCCTCCTGGCTATTCAGAACCACAACATTGTTGCTGATCCTTCTGAAAAACCCAGTGATTTCCACCCTTTCCTGGACTGGAAATATGGCACCCTAAATAATATGAAGAAACATGATCTACAGCTTGACTCTGAATCAAATGTACCTGCGATACCAAGAAATGATCAGTAAAGTTTAGAAACTCACATTTCACAAAGGATATTATGTTCATACCACAGATTAGAACATCAGGTGAGCAAACAACTTTCCTAGATACAATCATCTTCATGAAAGATATGGGCCAAGCTATGGCCGCCTAGAGTAGTCCACCACGACGGGTGAGCAAACAACTTTCCTAGATAAAATAATCTTCATGAAAGATATGGGCCAAGCTATCATGAACTATGTACCCAAGTTGTGCCCCTAATTGTCACATGGCATCAAGTTATTCATTATAAGCGAACCCTTCTGAACATTATGGTAAATTTATCAGCAAGCCTCTTGTTAATGACTTCTGTTAATTTCCAAACCTATGCAGACTGCTAGTGAGAGGTATCCTCAGATTGCCCATCAACCCTCATGGATTGTACTGTGATAAAACCATGCAATGACTCACCTGTTTGTATTGAATCCTTAGCAATATGAACAGCTATGTTCAAATAACTGAAGGACTGTCGTGTAGATGGTGGCCTTGTTCTAACTCCTTTTTAGAATAGTTGCTTGATTCATATGATTTTACAGTATTTGTTGGCTAGAACAATCTACAAGATGAAGAGAATGAAACAAATGCAGGAACATGCAGGCTGTTCCAACATATTACAAAAGGGGATATGGTACTTGAGATATGCCATGTTACCTTTTGTACAGAATCAGCATTGCTACGTGTTAGCTAGGAACAGAAAAGTAGAAAGATAAAATAATAAATCAACAGACTTCTTCCAAGACTGCACAGATTTGGAACTGTATCTTTCTCTCTTTCTCCAAATTATTATATAGTCCTGTAATATTTATTGCACCATTACGTACAGCTGGCTGATGCAAAGAAGCAGTCCCAAAGCCAGCAAAATCAGGGAGCTGGATAGGGGACAGATTGTATTTGTCTCCATTGTGGAAGGGATTGTCACTCTTGAATTGGCCTTCTCAGCCACACTAGATGCTGTTCCAAGTCCTCCATACAGAGCATGTTACCATAGTCTCTCGAGACTGAAGGATGCCTAATCAATGTTACTATAGAGCAACAGGTAATCCATTCATGTATCAAGACAGAGCTTCAAAATAATTGATTAAAAAGTCATTTGTTACTCCAAATTCATTATGTGTTTGATAGCTGCTAATTAAAATCACCAAATGCCAAACAATTTGTATGGGCTCATGATGACTAATATTTCACTTTACTTCAATTTATTAGTTTTAGCCATAATTATGAGTAGTGGCCTTTTTGAGTCATTTTAAATGTTGTGGTACTAGTGCATTATGCTACCCCCTCCCCCGCCAATTTTTATTAAAACAATGAAGGATAAGTTGCTAACTGATGAAACCTTCTGGGATTTTCTCTTCCTTGGTGTCAGTTTGTAACTGGTGGTGAGCACAAGAGGGTATCCTATAGACCACCTTGACTGCTGCCATTGGTGTTGTCAATAGTCAGGCTGCCCTTTGCTATGTAAGGCTTGGCATCCTTTTTCCTGCTGGCAATGCGGACACAATATTTTGCAGTATTGGGCCACCTCCTCGCTTTTTGAGTCGTGGGTACAGAAGCACAATATCCCACATTCATAAACTGGAAGATTTTTTAATGAATTGAATTACTGTATTATTATCACAACATGCCTAATGATTAGTGACAGTTCCAGATAGCAGAAAGTGAATTGCAATGATGCATTCACTCCTGTCCCCAGTGACATGCTACCTGCAGGGACCAACTTGGCTTATGGCAGGGCTGATTTTTTAAGAGGTAAGGTAAAATGTAAATGAGTTGATTTATGCAAAACTATTAAGCTGTCAGTTCATGTTCATTGGTAATTAGAACATTAGTTAATTACCTGATCATGGACAAAATTCCACAGAGGAGAGAATCTGAAAAAAAATCCAGTATCTTAGAAGTATCAACAAGACAAAACTTTAATTGTTGTAGTTACTTACACCCAGACAGGCAGACATAGATACACACCCACACAACAGTTTGTTCATATCAACCAATGATAGGGATCTTTTTCAAGTTTCCTTTCAGAACTGAAATGAGGAGCTGTCATAGTGAGGTGGCCAAGTCTGGCATAAAACATGGAACAGCAGCAAGATGTCGGACAACACAGCCATGGGCACTTCACAGACAGCTTTGAGCCTCCTAAGCTATTCCATCATCCCCATGTGCTGTCAAAAGAGTCGGTGTTGAAGGTATCTCAATGGCCAGCCCACTTGCCCCCAGTATATGGAACTCCGGGGACACTATCTTATCCTTTGCCTCTGGGAACAAGTTGTCTTAGATCACATGTTACAGTCTGCAGACTTCTTTAACCAGTTTTTCCTCAAATTTTGAGCAGATCGTACACTATATTTCCTTTTATCCCTCTGCTGACAGCTAAAGATCCACCTTTTCAGGCAGGTTTTAAACCATAATGACTGAGTCACTGAATGCCAGTTTTTAGTTAAGAGAGTTTTTAATGTTATATCTGTTTTTAATTATTCAAGTGTATTTTAAACAGTTTTATAGTTTATTTGTTTTTAATGTGTATTTAATTTGCTTTTAATTCTATTCTTCTTAATATTGTGAGCTGGAAACAGCAGCCTATAAATGAGCGAGGGAAGGAAGGAAGGAAGGAAGGAAGGAAGGAAGGAAGGAATCTTGCAAAATTCCTTCAGCAGAAAGAGATTTACATTGGACAACTATACAGCTGTCCAGGAATGGCCTTTTATAATTAGAGTCCTTCACTGGAAGAGATGTCTTCCTTTTTGGTGATGTATAAGTGGCCCCCCCATTCCCCCCCCCCCATGATTTTCCCTGGTTCAGCAGAGGAAGTAGAGATTTTGATCGGTAAATATGTCTCTCTCTTACTTTTTATGTTAAGTGGTCCAGAGGGTTAAACTTGTAAGAAAAGACACAAACCATATACACTGATATTACTACTGCTGAATGGCAGGAAAAACATGTCAGTTCTGTATGATCTTCAGATGTGAGGCCAGTGCCACAAGTGGACATTCTGAAAGCACCACTCAGATCATTCCTCTGAAAGAACTGATTGTTGCCTAGCAAGAGATTTTTTAAAAAAAATCCAAAAACTATAGTAGTCCCTATTTTCTTTCTATATACTGTACAGTATACAGTATTAATTTTTAGTAAGCCGCAGACAATACAATGCACAGAGAATTTCAGAGAGTTAACTGTTCCAGTATGTCTCCAACATTTAATTGTAAGAAGTTTCCATTTTCTGCCTTATTATTAGGCCCCTTTGGAATGTCCTGTTAGTTATATTTTTTAGTGTACCATAACATTGGAAGGTGGCTGAGGATTCTGATTTCCTGTTTCTATTATACACCTCATCTTCACTGTGTGGCTTCTCTAAGCGCCCACATTTCCTGATCTGAAAAAGCCTTGTGAAAGGAATTACTTCATTATGTCTTTCCTGGACCTTAACTGAGGGGGAGGAGTGGAAGGGCTTGCTAGCTGCCACATAGATGGCTGACCAATGAAAAATATGTATACCAACACACTGGTCAGCCCGTTTCCCAAATAAGTTAAGGTAAGCACAGCACCTCAAACATCATTCTAATAAATTTCATCGGTTTTCTCCAGAACATCTCCCTTGACACTCTTTTTGAAAGTAATTTCTTTTCCATCCATTTGACAGAGGTCAAATTTGCCACAGGGGAAAATTTTAACACAGCACTAAGAAAAAAGAAAACAGATGTTTAAAATAACAAACAAAAAAGTAAATGAATAAATACTGTGTTTTTGCTAAAACTCTTGTTTCCATGAAATCCCAATATACCCTCAAAAGATTATTTCATGCCTGCTATGAAAAACACATTTACAATGTCCAGATAGCTCTCAAACCTCAT